TCGAAAAAAATTTTTTTTCGTCGAAGGAGGAGTGTAAAGACATTGGATTGTGTCCAATGTTGGCTCCTATGCATGCTTGTTGGCAGTCGATCCTCTTTCAAACGGAATCGGCCACATCTAAAAGGTCATCATACACGCACGCACGCACGCACGCACACACGCACTCACTCACGTCAACGTTATAAAGGGAAAAATCAAAAAACGTTTTGACGATATCGACAACAACAACGTCAATAATTAATATTAAAATAAGTAAATTATTAAACACGAGGTTCGCGCACTCACTAACTCGCTCTCTCACTCTCTCCCTCTCTCACTCACTCTTTAAATTATTATTATTATTTGTCTGTTTTGCTTGAATGATTTGAAATATTTTTAGCGACAAGGTTTTTATTTTTTTTTGCGTGAAAGTTTATAAATGATTTATTTTATGGTTGTTGCTTTTTTTCTTTCTTTCTTACCATTTTGTAATATTTAAGATCCCCAATGGATAGATAGATAGATCCCCGAGTGAAAGTGTTACAGGAGGCGGTAGATTTTTTATAAATGACGTCATAATTTTTAAAAAATTTTTCACGTGTTATAATAATTTCATTTAATTCAATTATTATTTTACACGTGTTACGTATACCCAAACGCGTACGAATTCGATGACGTAATAATAATATTAATAATGTTAGGAAAAGTGATTAAACACAAAATTTCTGACGCGGAATAACACGCGGATTACACGTGAAACGTGAAAACGCCGTTTCTGGGGTAAAAATTTTTTTTTTCAAAATTTGGCACCTGTTTAAGGAATTTATCCCCTCGCGACGACGTTCAAAAAAAAAAAAATTTTTTTTAAAACTAATTTTATACATTTAATGAATGAAATTTTTTTTTTTTTTTAATTTCATTGTAAATACGTTAAGGAGGAACGCACATTCTTGGAAATGAAACTATCTTTTTTTTCGATGTGTCTGCATGTGCCCCCGCCCCCTGTCTCCCTGCCCCCGTCTCCCCCTACCTCCCCGTGCACATGTGTACATAACAGGAAATTCCGTTCTAATTAATAACGCGGCGGTTTTATGTATATAAATAATAATAATAATAATGTATATGTGTGTGAGTGAGTGCGTGCGAAAAATCAAAACACACTAACGGATACGTTAAAATATTTTATAATAATAATATTAACACGAAAAAAAAGATTAATAATTTTTAATAAATAAAATAATAATAATTATTTTATTATAGATAAAATCTCTTAAAATTTTTCTTTTTTTTTTTGTTACCTGGATAAGGAAGTAACTGTTTTTAATTAATTAGGACCGTGAACCGTGAGAAAAACAAAAAAAACATGCTGACCATCATCATCATCATCATCATCATCACCATCATCGTGAAAATAATAATGATGGTAATCGTTTCGTATCAACGTTTGAGATAAAAATCATTTCACCAGTCACGAGTAAATATGTCGCATTAAATTAATGTTAAAATACGATGTGACGTCATATATTAGAAATCGTCTAATGATAACGTTATCATTAACAATAATAAATAATTCGGATGACTCCATCGTATCATTTTTTTTTTTTGCTGGAAAATATTTGCAAAAAAAAAAGAAATTTATGCGAGATCGTGTGCGTGCGTGCGTGCGTGTGGGGATCAGGGGCGTAATCATGATGGTGGTGATGGGGGGTGGGGTGGAAGACGAGTTAAAAGAATATATTTATCTGTTGTCGTTTTGACTTTTGACTGATAATGCACACCAGCGTAACAAGACACCTACAACACGGGGCGCGTTATTAACGGGTAATAAAAAAAAGAAAGAAAATTGTTAGTAAACAAGTTTTTAATGATTTCACCCACAATAAATAATAATGATGATGATGATGATGATAATGGAACATGAGGAATTTATACGGGGAGACGGTTTTAAATAATTTAAGATATGATGATATACCTTTTGACGGTCTTTTAAATAAAAAAGACCTTGAATCCTCGGGAATTATATTTCACTATCGTATATAGATAGACAAATGTGAAAAGGTGTGACTTAACCTTTGACCTTAATATTTAATTGACTCATCCTACCCGTTTAAAATTATAGGAGAGAGAGAGAGAGAGAAGACACCATAAAAAAAAATTTTTCTTTTTTTTTTTACCCCCTCGTCGAACCGAATTCGTTTTCGGCATCGAATTAATTTTTAATCGATCGATATATCGATCGAGATTCTCTCTATCTCTCTCTCTATCTCTCTCTCTCTCTCTTTTTATTTAATTATGTTTTTAATATAAAAACTCGAGTAAGGGTAAGAAAATAAAATAAATAAATAAATTACACGCATAAATTATGACGGTGATAATAATTTGATATGTGACACATTATAGGCGTCAGTTAGCGTTCCGTAAATAAAATGATAATAATAATAATAACAATAATAATAATAATAATTGTAATGATGATACCGATGTTGATATTAATAATAATAATAATAATAATAATAATAATAATAATAATAATAAAATTTACGGGAGATTGAATGTGAAAATTGACTTAACATTTAACCGATATACATTTACTTTATTTTTATTATTATTATTATTATTATTATTATTAAAATTTATTAACTTGACCTTTACCAACCTTAGAAAAAAAAAAAAAAAAAAAAAACGTGATTACCGTCATTTGTCGTTTTAAATTTTTATTAAAAACAAAACATAATTAAAATTCAATGGCAATTAAGTGTAAAAAAATGTAAGGGGGAGGAAGGAGGAGGAGAAGGGCGAGGGGAGAGGCGAAGAGGGGGAAGGCGAGGCGAGGCGGGAAGGGGGAAAATTTTTTTTCCTTACGTGCAAATTTATTTATTGAAATATTATTATTATTATTAATAACAAAAGAAAATTTATGGGTTTGCCTGATTAATATTTAATTATTATTCTTTTCTCATAATTCGCCGCCTCACCGCCTTGTTTTAAAAAAATCCCAAAACCATTTTTGTTTGTTTTTTTTTTTTTATAAATGAATGATGACATTTTTTTTTTTTTTTTGTTTTCATATTTGAAATTCTTTAATGAAAAAAAAAAAAAAAAAAATGGAATTTAATAACATTGTCATAAGGCAAATAATAATAATAATAATAATGATGTTTAAAATTTGTTTACGCCCTTAAAAAGTTCATTACTCCCTTCGTTCGCTTTTGTCAACGACTTTTCGGTATAGATGAACACACACGCACACGCACACACACTTCAACCCGATGCATTTTATACTACCGATAATAATAATAATAATAATAATAATAATAATAATAATAATAATAATAATAATAATAATAATAATAATAATAAATTAAGAGGGCGCTGGTGTTCCATGGTTGACAAGCCTTTTTGTCATATCGTTTTCTTTAATTAATTTTAATAGTTTTTTTTTAGGGTTTATTTATAAATTATATATCAAAAGTTTTGTAATTTAATCTAGTTTACAGTGATATAATTAGTTTTTTAAATTATTTAGTAATAACTGTATTATCTCAAGTTTAAATTTACAAATTGTTCAACGATTCCATGTGACAAAAGGAAGCGTGGGCAATAAAAAACCTTAGAAGGCACCTTAGTACATATAAGTTAAACGGATAAGTACCTCATTTTAAGACTTAAATTTCAATTGTAAAACGTTAGGCTAACAAAGAAATTGAACACATAACCAAAAAATTTTTTATTTTTATTTTTTTTTTTATATTTCTTTGGTTAATTATAAGTGATTTGACTATTTATATCTTTATCTTATTTAACAAAATAAGAATTAAAATATTTTTACAATAACATAGGTTGATACATGATTTTTTCAGGGTGTAATTTCTATACCCCTATTGTTAAGTGTTAACTTGTGATTGTATGTTATTTTAGCCTTGTCTTAAGCTAACTTAATTCATTGTAGTAAAGTTTATTAACAATAACATAGTGTAACTAATACCTTTCTTAAATCTGAATCAAATTAGGAAAGAATAGTAGTAGCCTTTATATTAAGTGATATTAGTGTGAAAGGGTACAACAGATTTCTCTTTAACCAGACTTCATTTAATAAATTTTGCATCTTTTGAATTACTTATAAGAGTTAAATATCATTGTCATACTAAATAAGAATAGAGGTAGTTCAATATAAATACTCATTATTTATTGGTTTAATGTAATGTATAGCTGGATATAACATCTCTGTACTCCTGTGTTAATCTACTGATTGTTTTAATACAGAATATTTTGCCATATACTTTATGCAAATCTCCATTTTGATCTACATTAACACTAGCAGAGATAAATTTTTTTTTTATACTACTTAATAATAGTACAGAATTGTAATTTGTATGTTGTTCATACAGTTAAGTGTAGTCTATGTAATCTCTTTTATCCTTAAATTAGTTTGTTTTGTTACTGCTTAGTTTATAATCTTGATAGTGTAATATTACCTGTAAATTTGATTCAAGATCAATTAATTAAGTTATAAATAAGTAGCCTTTTAGTATTTGTTTCTAATGTAAAAATTGTGAAAAAGCATTATACATTTGAGGGACCATAACTTAAACAAACTTTATACAACTTAAGTTGAAGTCTAATTGCATATTATAGCTAAGTAGTCTAGCCAAATATAATATATAAGTAGTCTCTACCATACTCATTGAAAATAGGGATAACTTAACAAAATAGTTTAATAAGATAGTTAGTAATACCTGATTTAATATATCAATTGGGTAAAAAATTTGTTCTGTCTAATCCAGTTGTTTGATAACTAGTGTTCTAATTGTATAATATTTAACCTTACATTAAATTGTTTCTGCCTTATTGCAGCATATTTTACATGATTTACAGCAAATTGACTTTTATAAGAGTAAGAGACATAAGTGATAAGTTAAAAAAAAAATCTTATAATAGTGAATTCTAAGTACTGAATTAGAAAATGTTTTGTTATAAAGGTGAATGAATTTATAAATTTATATATAGGTAAAAAGAGCAAAATGAGAACAAGACAAAGTAAGAACCAAAACAAATCTTGTTCTACTGTCGACCTGAGGCAGCTCGACGAGAATGTGAATTTCACTGCTTCTGACCCTGGCCACTCCAAAGATGTTAGTCACCGGAGCCCAGTTCAGGAGACAACTCGTTCCCATCGAATAAGATGGACTCAGGAAGACCTTCAAGAATTGATGTGGTGCTATTTTTACTCTCAAAAATTTGGTTCAGGATCGGAAAGTGACACCTTTAAAATCTGGAGAGGAAGAAACCCAAACAGCAGGAAGGACATGACATCGAAGAAGTTGGCTGCCCAGAGAAGATATATAATGAAAGCACAAAAAATTGAAAATAATAAATTAGAAGAAATTAAGAAAAATGTAGACTCTTCGTGCAGTAATGTTATACGAGATAATGCACAAATAATAACAGAATTAAATGAGTCTAACCACAAGAGTAAAACCGATACTGACGAGCAATTGTTGACTGATGCAGAAATGAAGAGCATCGAAGAGAGACTAATTGAAGAGATAAAAAAAGTAAAGATGTGCCCATTAATAAACAGGAAGCCATTAAGGAAAATATACAAAAATAAAAAGGCAACTGAAGTTTTACGTCTTATAGATAACACCCTCATAAATGTATTAGAAAAAGTGGTAGACATTAATTTAACCACAATTAATGAAATTATATATGCTGCGGGGGTAGTTGCCACAGATGTTATACTTGGGCAAAGAAAAGAAGCTCGTCATAAAGAAATTGAAATAAAAAAGTCAACATCACCAATATGGATACAAAGAATAGAGGGAAAAATAGAAAGAATAAGATCACATATCTCCCTGGTATCCGAAATGAAGAAGAATAATAATTTAAAGAAGAGGACAATAAAGAAACTGGATCACCTTAAAAGGATCTATAAATTGAAGACCATGGAAGATATAGAACTTACCATGGAAACTTTAAAACAAAAGGTATTGCTCTATTCTCAGAGAATAAGGAGATATAAGAAGAGAGAGCAGTTTTGGCGACAAAATAAATTGTTTGAATCGGACCCAAAGAAATTTTACAGAACAATTAGAGAGCAGAACATACAAAATGGATCCAGCACCTTAAATGTAGAAAAAATGGCAGACTTTTGGTCAAATATTTGGGAAAAATCTCATCCATTAAATAAGAACTCTACATGGATGAATAAAGAAAAAGAAGCACATGCCTGGATTGCTTCTTCAACAATGTCGGATGTAAGAATGGCGGATTTAGAAACATGCCTAAAAAACACGGCCAATTGGAAAAGTCCCGGATTAGATAGGGTACAAAATTTTTGGATTAAGAATTTTACAAGTACCCATAAGTATTTACTGGTATCCATAAATAAATTAATAATGGGACGGCAAGAAATGCCAGAATGGATAACCACGGGAAAAACGTATTTGCTGCCAAAAAAATCAGGAGCTATGGAACCGAAAGATTTTCGGCCGATAACCTGTTTGCCCACAATGTATAAAATAATAACAGCTATTATTGCTGAAAAGATTTATGGGCATTTAAGAAAAAATAACATTTTTCCTCCTGAACAATATGGATGCAGGAAAGGGTCTTACGGCTGCAAGGAGGTTTTATTAATAAATAAATTGATCATGGCCAGTGCAAAACAAAAGAGGAAGAATTTAAGCATGGCATGGATTGACTATCAAAAGGCCTTTGATAGTGTGCCTCACGAATGGATTATTGAGGCACTGAAAATATATAAAGTAGACCCTAAAATTACAGCGTTCTGCGAGAAGAGTATGAAAAATTGGTGCACCCAGCTGGAAGTGCAAAAATACTCTTCTAGAAAAATATTTATAAAAAGAGGGATTTTTCAGGGAGATTCATTGTCGCCACTTTTATTTTGCATGTCTTTAATTCCTCTATCCAGACAGCTTAATATCAAGGATCAAGGATATGAGTTGATACCGGGAGGCAGGAAAATTACCCATATGCTATATATGGATGACTTAAAAATTTATGCCAAAAATGAAGAGGAGTTAAATAAAATGTTACGGACGGTTCAAACCTTTTCCTCTGACATCAACATGAAATTTGGTTTGGAAAAATGTGCCAGAATAAATATTGTCAGAGGAAAGTTAAAACAAAAGCAGAATATAGAAGACTCCGAAGAAGAACTTATTAAAGAATTGGACCCTGGATCATCATACAAATATCTGGGGATTGAAGAAAATTTTGGGATAGCCAACAAGGAAATTAAACCTCGATTGAAAAGAGAATATTTTAAAAGATTGAGGCTTATATTACAGTCGGAACTGAATGGAAGAAATAAGATAACCGCCGTCGGCACATTAGCAGTTCCTGTAATAGAATATAGTTTTGGCCTCGTAGACTGGACGAAAGAAGAAATCACGCACCTAGATAGAAGGACAAGAAAAATATTAACCATGAATGGTGCGTTACATCCAAAGGCTGATGTGGATAGATTGTACGTCAGCAGGAAAGATGGAGGAAGAGGATTAAGACAAATAGAAGCGGCACACCAGAATGCCATTATTGGAATGGGAAAATACATAGAATCCCATCAAGAGGACCCTATTTTAGCCCAAGTTATACATGCAGAAGAAAAAACTACAAAAAAAGGAGTTCTGAAAAGGGCAAAACAAATCGTCCTAGAAAATAAAGAAAATGAGATAATGGAAGAAGGGCAACTTGCAACTTATAATAGCAAAGCCCAATCTCAGAAGAAATTAATAGGCAAATGGGAACAGAAAAAATTACATGGGCAATACCTAAAAAGAATAAATGCCGAAGATATTAATAAGAAGAGCACGCACAATTGGCTACGGCGTGGAAAACTTAAAATTGAAACAGAAGCGTTTATTACAGCGGCTCAAGATCAGGCATTGCGGACCCATAACTATGAAAAAGTAATTCTCAAAGTCCGCCAAGATGACAAGTGCCGAATTTGCCAATCTCAATCGGAAACCATCGATCATTTAATTTCCGGCTGTCCGATACTGGCAAAACATGAATACTTAGAAAGGCACAATAAAATATGTCAATATCTCCATTGGAATATATGCCGAGAATATGGAATGGATGGATTACCCAAGGAGTGGTACAACCACATTCCAAGCCCGGTCACGACAGTAGGCCCATGCACAGTTCTATATGATCAACAAATCCACACTGATAGAACTGTGCCAGCTAACAAACCGGATATCATACTCAGGCATAATGGGGAAAAATGGTGTAAGTTAATTGAGGTATCCGTGCCGGCAGAAAAAAACACCACAGCCAAAGAAGCAGACAAAAGGCTGAAATACAGAAATTTGGAAATTGAAATAACCAGGATGTGGGGAACAAAAACTGAAACGATTCCGGTCATCGTGGGAGCATTGGGAGCCATGCCACATTCAATAAAAGGAAATTTAAAGAAGATTATGAAGAACCTAAAAGAAGAAACCATCCAGGAAATCGCACTATGTGGGACGGCCCACATTCTTCGGAAAATATTATAAATAGCACCACCGATATTCGAGTATTTGTCCCTAAGGAATCGGGTAGAGACCTGGGATAAATGCTTAACAACCCCGACAAATAAGAGCCTTGTCGTGTTTAAGAGTGACCATAATAATAATAATTAAAACATTTCATCGCAAAAAAATAAATACATATATGTAATCCGGATTATTATTATTATTATTATTTTAAATTTGTTATTTACGTTAAATTTAATGCATTTTAATTTATTACGTCGAGACTTTTTTTTTAACGAAAAAAAAAAAAAAAACAGATAAAAAACGCGACATTTAACATTATTATTATTATTATTATTATTATTAATCGTTGTTTTGATTGGGAAAAAAAAAAAAAACGTGCGTCTGAGAAAATTCTAAAGAAAAATTATTATTATTATCGTGACGACAAATATGAAATCAATCAATCGTCGAACGAAAAGGTGTTATTAAAAATATATAAATATTTAATAATCGCATCGGGATAAAAGAAAAAAAAATTACGAAAGATGTTAATTATCATCATCATCATCATCATCATCAATTTTTTGCATACGAATAAGAAAAATCGTTAAGACAATAAAAAAAAAAAAAAAACGAACAAACGAAGGAAATTCAAGGACTTAATCGGAAACCGTAAATAATTTCTACGTATTCAAAAAAAAAAAAAAAAAAAAAAAATTTCCAGGGTGATTTATTATTACCGAGTAACAGGAAAAAAAATTATTATTATTATTATTATTATTATTATTATTATTATTATGGTGAAAGTGAAAATCGGAAGAAATTAAGGGATTTTATTGAAACGCATCAAATATTTTTTAATAACCCGTCTATGAATTCGAGAGTGTACCTACATACCTGTTACAAAAATTTTTTATTACGTAATTAAAACGACAGAACAATTATTATTATTATCACGGGGGGTAACGAATTTTTTTTAAAAATGGCGTCGATAAGGTTTTGATTTGACATGTGCGAGTTAAAAAAAAAAAAACGGCAAAAATTCATAAATAAAAAATATTAAAAAATTAAATTTTTTTTTTTGGACAACAACAAACTTCACGGAGATGATTTTAGGTTGTTGTTGTTGTTGTTGTTGTGGTTGTTATGGTTGTTATTATTATTAAAATTTGATCGAATGATTACGTTAAAATATGTATGAAATCGGATAAGAAAAAAACAAAAAAAAAAATCTCTTACGAATTGTTACGCGTGAAAAAAATTTTAAAAAAAAAAAAAAAAAAAAACGTGGCACTAAAAATTAAAAATTAAAATTTTTTTAAAGTGTGATGGTAACCTTTTCAAATTTGTTATTTCCACGAAAGTTTTTTTTTTTTTTTTAAATGCGAATAAATAATAATAATAATAATTTTTGTACGTTGGCATAGAAGAACAAAAGTTTCCCTGTTGTCTCTCATTCATGCGTATTTACAAAAGTTTTTTTTTTTTTAATATTAATAATAATAATATATGGTTAAATTGTTGTGTGTTTACACACGCACGCACGCACGCACGCACGTACTCATAACGCTTCTTTTGTAATTTTTTTTTTAATTTTCGTTTGTTTGTGTTCCAGAATGTCATTTTGGTAAAACGATAAAAGAACTCGGTTCGAAATGGTCAGCGGATTTGGGTCCACCTTTTGGCGTGATGCATTGCATACAATGTGAATGCGTTCCGTTCCAGAAGAAGCGTAGAATTGTTGCCAAAGTCCAGTGCCGTAATATCAAACACGAATGCCCGAAACCGACATGCGACGAACCGGTTTTTATCCCTGGAAAATGTTGCAAGACTTGCCTCGATGATCATCGCTGTAAGTTTCTTTCTTTTTTTTTTTTTTTTTTTCGTTTGTTACACTTGAAATCACGTTCCAGAACGAATTTATTCCAAAAAAAAAAAAAAAAAAATTTCGATGAAAACTTTATTGTTTAAACAAACAAAAAAAAAAAAACTATAAATAATTCATTTTAAATCAAATTGTGTGACGTCACACACACAAATTTTTTTTACCTATTTTCTATTATTCGATTTAAAATTATTTTTTTAAAAACAACCCTCGCGCTTTTTTTTTTTTTATTATTGTTTTCAGTATTGCCAACTTAATTTTAATTAATCCGATCGTTTGATTTGAACGCCCCATTTAAAAAATTTTTTTTTTTTTTCTTCATTAAAAATTTCGGAAAATTTTTTTTCTATTCAAATAAATTAAATTTTACTTTGTGAGTATATGGCGAGAGGTAACTGGGGAGTGGGAGGAAGGGAAAGGGGGAAGGGGGGGCGAGGACTTGCGAATAATCAAAAAATATTATTATTATCATTTCTTTTAATAATTCGACCGTTTGGAAAAAAAAAAAATAAAAACCAGACGAAATCTATTTAAAAAAAATGCAATTGAGATAGGCAGACCGAGTGAAAGTCGACGGAACATAACGAATGTAAACAAGTTGTAAAATGCAGACGACGTCTTGGATTCGATCCAATCAACAACAACAAACAACAACAAAAAAAAAAAAGAAAAAACTACAGCATCAGACAAAACCGGATATCGGACGAAACTAAAAATTTTTTAAAAAAAAAAAGCAAAATTTTTTTAGTTTAGTCTTTCGACTGATAATCATGTTGAGAGGAAAGAGCAGAAGACAAAAAACAAAAATACAACAAACAAACAAACAAACAGACGAACAAACGAACAAACGATTTGCAATTTTTTTTTTTTTTTAACTATCACAAAGTAAAAAATTTTGACTTTTCTAAAAGAAAATCCTTCACACGCATTTATCCATTTTCCCTTTAGTCTCGATAGATAATAATAATAATAATGATACCTACCTGTTATCACTGTTATCAGTAAATTTTTCCGTTCATTTTTCACTTTGAATCAATGAAAAATTAAAACGACAATGAAACGCCCTTTTAATACGTAAACAATCAATTAAAATTTTTTTAAACGTTAAAAATAATGATGATTTGTTCTTTTTAAAAAAAAAATTGCATTGATCTATCGATCTATCGATCGATCGATCGATTGATTGATCGATTATCCGTAAATAATTTTTTTTTTCAATGCGTTATTTATTATTATTATTTAAAAAATCAAAATATTTATAATAATAATAATAATAAATTATATTCGTTTTATTTTAATTATTTCGCGAATCGATTCATTATTATTATTATTGTTATTATTAATGATGAAAAATTTAACTTTTAACATTTTTGCACGTTTCAATACAGGAATGAGTTTGCTTGCTTGCGTGCGTGTGCGTGTGTGTGTGTGTGTATTTTATTTTAATTATTATTATTATTATTATTATTAATACATGTATTGATGATTTTTCATTCAAATTATGCCAAAATGAAAAAAAAAAAACGGCTCGTAATTGATTAATTATTAGTTCTTATGGAAATCCTTGGAACGTCACTAATAAAACGAATCATCATCATCATCATCTTTTACTTATTATTTTTTGTTTGTTTGTTTGTTTGTTCTTCTTCATTTTCACGACTCTTTTCCGTATGTTATTTATTATTCGGTTGTTCGTTTTAGGAGTTAAGTCGATTAAATGCGACAAACAAACACGAAAGGGAAAAACATTAGTGAGAAAGAGAGAGAGAGGAAGAAAAAAAAAGCCTTAATTGAAATTTACGGTTGTGTGTGTGTGTGTGTGTGCGTTACGCAAGACCATAAATGAATCACGTTAAAGTGCGTGAGTGCGTGCGTGAGTGCGCGTGCGCGTGTCTCTTCTAATTGCAAATATAAAATTTTACAACATTTATTATTATTGGTAAAAAAAAAAAAAAATTGGGTTTTTGACTTTCAATAAATTAATTAAAAGCTTCGTAACTGAACCTCAAAGCGAAATTCTCATTTGCCCCCCCCACCTCCCCTCTCAACTTTCCTCCTCGCCCCGCTCCTCTCTTCCCCCCTCCCGTTAAAAAAAAAAAAAAAAAAATTAAAGTAACGTAAATGGACATTTTCACTTAACAGGCAATTAAAACGTTTTAAATTAATTTAAATTGAAATTTTTATTGTTATCATTATTATTATTATTATTATCATTATTATTATTATTATTATCATTAATATTATTATTATTTTTTAACGAAAATTGATTTTTTTCGGTTATTTTTAGGAAAGGAAAGAAAAAAAAATGGTTCGGGGTCAAAACCCTTTAGCAACATTTTCCTTAATCGTACTATCAGGTTTTACAATTAACGCGCGTACGAAAATAAAACAATCCGGAAAATGTTTAGTTAACAAATTTGTGTTTGTCGTTAACGATACAAACAAACACAAAACAAACGAAACGTACGGTTTATCACGATGACAATCGCGGAAATTTCAAATTTTCCGTTTTGTTGAAATCACAAAAAATTTGAATTATATTAAAATGTTACGCATAAAGTGCGTAACGTGTACGCGCACGTACGCACGCACGCACGCACGCACACACGCGAACCGACACGAATTCCTTTTTGATTTATGTTTGTGTGACTTTCAGGCGCCAAAATAGTAAAATTTAATGCGAAAAGCTTTTAGCAATAGACAGACAACAACCAAAACAACAACAACAACAACAACAATCTTCGCCATTCGTTTTTTATTATTATTATTATTATCATTAGTTCGGTTATAAATAGAAAAAATTTATTATTATTATTATTAATATTATTTTCGAACCTTATTAGCAAAAAACGTTAGAAAATTTTTTTCAACGGGTTGACACCGCGGGGGGAGGGGAGGGGGTTGCCGCGTGGGATTTTTTGCGTCTTTGTCTTTGTTTTGCTGTTGTCGCTGTTGGTGAAGTTCAGAAGAAAATGCCAAAAAAAAAGAAACAAAGTTATTATTTAATTGGTTTTAATTATTTAGGTTCATTTTAGTCAAAAAAAAAAAAGAAAAAATTTAATTGGTAATTTTTTAGATAATTATAAATGATTACGTTACTCACAAGGTTTGAGTTTTCATCGTCGCCATTTTTAAATTTTCCTTTTGTATCGAATCGAAAATGGCGCGAATAATTTTTTTTTTTTTCCCCCATCTGCTGTTGTTTTTTTTTTATAAACAAATCAAATAGATAAATTAACTCTCGAAATGCTGTTGTCACAAATTTTTTTTTTTTTTTTTTTTTCATTATTTATGGGAAATAATTTTTTTGCGTTTCATTTCGTCTTGTTGGAAAAGAGAGTGAGAGGGAGGGAGAGAGAGGGAAGGAATGAGGGAGGAAGAGAGAGAGGGAAAAGGGAGAGAGGAGAAAGGAGAGAGAGAGATGAAAGATTTAGAAAAAAAGTGGCACGATTTATGATTTGACAATTTTAATAATATCGTCTGCTTTTGTTGCTGTTGCTGTTGCTACTGCTGTTGCTCCTGGTTTCACAATACAAAAAACGATTTTTTGTATAAAAAAAAAAATTTTCCCGTCAGAAAGTTGAAAATTATTACAAAGGAAAAAGGAAAAATAAATTTAATATAAAATTGGGACATACAAGGATACGCCAATTTTTTATTCCTCTTGGATCCAGGAAAATAGTTGGGAAGGAAGAGGGAGGTGGTGGGAGGTGTGAAAACAAGACACGTGAAATTTAATTTAGTTTTCACGAATTAGAATAGTGAGGAGGGGGAGGGTGGGGAAAAAGGTTTAAAAGGTAATCCTGGGGAGGTGGAGACTCGAAGGGATGATTTTGTACAAGTATCGATTCGATAGAATATTTACTACTACTACCACCACCCTACCTACCCTCTTTATATCAACAGTAAAAAAAAGGTTTTACCCCTTTCGAACCTTCTAGAATTTTTTTTTTTTAATTATTAAAAATGTTATCACTTTTTTTTATAATCATCATTATTATCATTTGACTTTTTTTTACGACCTTTTTTTAATTTATGACTTTTTTTTTTTAATTAAATTTTTTTTGTTAATATTTTCTTTTTGTGGGGGGGGGTGTGGAGAGGACGGGGAAGGAGGCGTAAAAATGCGTTTCTGTCGTACATCAAATTTTTTTTTTTTTACGTTTTATTACCCTTTTCGATTAAAACTTTTTTTAAAAGCCCTTTTGGTTAAAATGATGTTAAAATTTCTATCGGAAATTTTCCAACAGGAAAATTTCGAAATTAAAAAAAAAAATTTTTCCCGTGCGTCGTCTGCTAACCCCTCCACACATTCATCATACGCTCTTTTAATTTAAATAAAAAAAAGATAAAAAAAAAATGGAAGGAAAAGTGGAAAAATTTTAAAATTAAAAAAAAACGAAAAACGAAAACGTTAACAACAGCAACAGCAACGACAATAATAATAATAATAAAAATTTAAGGTGAACGAATTTAGTCTCTTCGACAGTTAAGCATATAATTTAAAATTTGGCACCGATATTATATTTTGTCTCGTCGGTTTATATTACGTTTACGCTCCTGTTGCAATCGGATATTTAAATAAAAAGCGTGCCTTGGGGGGTGGGGTGGTGGGGGGAACCATCGTTCTCCCTCGGGAATCGCGACGATGATGATGATGATGATGAGGGTGGTTAATGGTGACGCGTTGGTGAATTTTTTTCTTTTGCTCCACGACATTGATTCCATTAATTTTTTTTTTTTTCTTTCCGGAAATTTAGTCAGGATTATGTAGGCGTGAAAATGAGAGGCGCAGTCGTGTCAAAAGGTCAATTGCTACGTAACAGCACATTATCCCCCTAAAATATCAAAACAAAATAACTCAAATATTATTTTTAAAAAAAAATGATTCATATTATTATTATTAGCTGGCATAAGAATAATAATACGATAGCGTGTGCGTGTGCGTCCGTGCGTGTGTGTGTGTGCGATTGGATAACGTGCACATGTTGACCTTATCATTTTACTCTGTCTTTATTGTTAACATTAAAAAAGTCGATGACCTTTTAATTTTTTAATTTATTATAATACAGATTTAGTTTGAATTTTATGGATTTCTTTTTTTTTTTTTTTTTTTTTACTGGCTATTTTATTTTTATTGATTTCTTTTTTCTTCCATTTTTTTTCCTCCTTCTTCTTTTCCTTCTTCTTCTTATTATTATTATTATTTTCGTTAACTTTGTGTTACAATTTTTTAACTTGTAAAAAAAAAAAAAAACGATTTCGTCTGCTACTGTTAAACGACGACAGGAAAAAATCTTTCGCATTTTAATCATTTCATAAAATGATTTTTTCTTTTATCATTATTATTATCATTATTATTACAACTTCCGTTTTAAAGGTGGTGATGCTGACGTGTAATTAACATTTTTTTGTTTTTGTTTTTCCAGTGTTAGAAGTGGCACAAGACATACCACCGCAAGAAGAAGATAAAAATATGAAATGTACGTACGTCATAAAAGTTTTTTTTTTTTTATCGATTTTTTTTTTTTTTAAATATATATTTTATTGATTGATTATTGATTATAGATTTTGGAGCGTTACTCACTGGAAGGACTTCATTAGTATTTAAAAGAGATGATATTGTTAATATTCCATCAACGTCTAAAAATCCAGTTTATCAAATCGTCGCAACCGGAAGGTTTACATTTCATAAAAAAAATTTATATTATTCATTTTACCTGGCAAATTCCCTGGTGAGTGTGACACACATAAAATTTTTTTTTTTACGTTGGCAAAGCTTTTTTTTTTTTAAACTACGGTTGGTAAATAAGGTGGGATGAGGTGGGGAGGGGGGAGGGGGTGGGAGTACGGTAACGACGAGATGAAAATTAATTAAAACCTTTTTTTCCCCCATCCTCCATCTTCCATCCCCATCGAATGAATAATCCTCTCGTTTGTTTTTTTTTTCTCTTATTCCTTCAAATAATAATAATAATGATAATAATAATGATTATGACTTTTAATATTTATGAAAGTCATTTTTTAATAATAATTATTATTATTAGCATAAATAATTTTTTTTTTTTTTTTCGGTTCGAACGATTAATTATCGACAATTAAAAAAAATTTAAATATCGTCGTCATTAAGAAAAAAAATATGACGTCACGTTTTTTTTTGAAACAAAGAAGAAAAAGGTTCGAAAAGGTTTTAAAACCTTTTTTTCCTCCTATAAGAGAATGTGAAGGAAAATTTTTTTAAAATTTCGTTTTATTCATTCATTTATTCATTGAGTTTTAAATTTAAAAAAAACCATTTTAAATTGTTTGTTTGTTTGTTTGTTTGTTTGTTGTTTGTTTTTCGCAATAAATCGCCGATTTTCGATGTAACCAATAAAAAAAAAAAAAATTTGGCGCCATTCGTTAATTTATTATTATTTTTTTATTAAAAGTTTTGGTTAATTTTGTTTCTTTATTTACGTATAAACAAAAAAAAAAAAAATGTTTATAATCTGGCGATGTTGTTTACATGGTGAAAGTGGCGGGATGGGGTGGGAGAAGTCGCGACGGGGGGAGAGGGGGTCGAGAAAAAAAAAAATTTTTCCGTTATTTAAAAAATGTATACGTCATCGCAGAATCAAAATCCTCCGAGACCACGAACGATACAATTTATCAACTACAAGGGAGATCTTTTGGAAGAACAAAATTTGTCGGCGATGGGTAGCGTTTACCAAAATGCGACATCAAAAGTCTGCGGAGTTTGGAGAAGGATACCGAGAGAATATAAAAGATTGTTAAGGGATGAAACTTTATACGTTGCACTTTTATGGGGTAATAATTTGGCATTGAGCGGACAAATCGCAAGGTGTGAAATATTTTAAATTTTAATTAATTTAAAATTACCGGAAGTGACGATAGTAATAATAATAATATAATTTACAGGTTAAAAGCTTTAAACACTGAACAATTTACCGCATTGTTAACACCATCTTATTCTGATCTTGTCGAACCTGATAGCGGAGGAACTGCCATCATATCAACTTTGGCATCCCCACCCACGATTCACATATCACTAGTTTTCAACGGAGTTTTTCTTCCGGATGAAGTTTCCGACGTACCATTAACGGTTCGACTTGAAAATTCCGAAAAAGGACACGTCATATTCGAAGAGGTTAATAATAAAAAAAAAAATTAAATTTTCTTCTGCTTTTCTTTCGGGAAAAATTAAAAAATTTTTTTTTTTCTGTTAAGGTGGTAAGAGTGCATAAACCATCTCATACGATAAATTCGGAAGAAGTAAAAAGTCTCATATCAATGAACGATCTTCGAATGATAACGAGAGGAAAATTTAGCGTCAGTATTTCTTCCAGGCATAAACCTGATATATATTTTCTATCTGGCCCTGTCGTCACGAGAACAGCCTGTGAAATTTTCCAGGTGCGTAACCATATTTGAGGAAAATACCTTAAGGAAAAAATTTTTTTTTAATTCATTCGTTCGTTTCGTTATTCAGACTCCCTTATCGTTATCAAACGAATTAGAAGGTTCGGACGCGCAGGAAACCACGTCCATGTTATCATACTCTCCAGCATCCGGAATGGCTTGGCTATATGTTAATCGCGATGGGTCCATAACGTATAACGTTCAATTAAACGAAATACAAGAATCTCCAGTTTTCACGTTGATGCCATCCGGAAAAGGAAGGAAAATATTAGACATACAACAATTTACACCGAGTAATTTAAATAACGGATTCGCCACTGGAACTTTGGATAAACTAAGGTAAATTTCCCCCCCTCCCTCCTCCCCTTCTCCCCAATTTTATCGGTACAAATAAATCGGTAAATAATAATAATAATAATAATATTTTCAGTCCTAAATTATTGGAATTCCTTTATTCTGGAGAATTGTCTTTAAGTGTTATCTCGACAAAAACTTCGATAAAAGGACAATTCGTGAGTAGGCCAGTTGCTGGAGCAGTAGACACAAAATTACCACTTTTGTTAAAAAGAGTCAACAATAAGAAAAACTACGATCTAATCGGTATGGCTTGGCTTTCGATTGATTTCGATTGCGATTTATACTACGAGGTTTGTTTGTTGTTTGTTGTGGTTACCATTTCGTTTGTAGTTTTTCCAAAAAGTTTCAAAAATTATTAATTAAATCAGGTTCAATTATCCGGTACTGGAGCCGAATCACGGAGTTATCAATTGTTTTTGGAAGACACACCGATAATCGCACCGAATTCTCCAGTGTCAAAAAGACATTTGGAAGATTTCAACGGAACTTTTCTGGAAGGATTTGCACAATTGACACCCCAAGAATTATTAAGAATGGACACGGGAATAAGTTTTTTCGAAATTACGGATTTATCAACGGGTACGATATTATTAAAAGCGGATATGAAACAACTTAAAATTCCAGTCGAATGTTTGTCGTACACGAACGATAACGACGTATCACCGTTTGTTTCGATGTCTTCTCATCGTACAATCGACATAACAAAATGTTATCACGAAGGAATATTTTACGACGAGGGTACTCAGTGGCGTCACCCACGTGACCCATGTAAAATGTGTCACTGTTTAAGAGGAAAAGAAAAATGTGACGATGTTGTTTGTCCTCCTCTACCCTGTACAAACAAAGCTAAAATATCCGTTAAAGAATGTTGTCCGACTTGTTACGGTAATTATATTTGGTTTAAAAAAAAAAGGGTTCTCTCTCTCTCTATCTCTCTCTATCTCTCTCTCACACATATTATTAACCGGATTTGTTTCATTACGACAGATTCAAGCAACAACGATTTAAAAACATCCGTTGGTTGTACACAAGCCGGACAATTTTATCCAAACGGGAGCGTTTGGCATCCTTATTTACCACCCTACGGATTTAATTTGTGCGTTGTTATGTCGTGCGTAAGCGACGCAAAATCATCCGTTATCAAATATTCTAGAGTTCAATGTCCTCCATTGAAATGTTCTGAAAAAGAAGCTGTGAGAATGGAGAAAAATTCTTGTTGCAAACAATGTCCGACACCGGAAGCTGGCTACGCAAGAGATCAATCGGTGAGTGATTCGATGACGTCACAAAAATCCCCCCCCCCTCTTTTTTATCCGAGAAAAATAATTTTATTGTTTAAAAATTTTCAGGCCATAGTCGAAGTACCTAAAAAAAAAACAGACGAAGAAATATTACAAGAAGGGGGTTGTACGTATTTGGGTAGAGGACCATACGAAAATAATACGGAATGGTCGCACAGAGTTGATTCGATAGGTATAACGCCATGCGTTAAATGTCGATGTAAGGTAAAGGAAAATTTTGTTTGTTTGTTTGTTTGTTTGTACACACGTGTGAAAATAACAACCACAAACTTTTAATTTGATTTGATTATTTTTATAGGATGGAGTTATAATGTGCGAAAGGAAAAGATGCATAAGAGCAAATTGTACAAATAGCACGACGCAAAGTAATGCTGACGTTGACGATTGTTGTTCTCATCAATGCAGGTACAGACGACAGAGCAAACACAATCAAAGGAGAAAAACGTGGAAGCAAAAAAAAAGAGGAAACGCGTAAAAAAAAAAAGGAAAGAAAAAATTTTTTTTTTTAATCATGAAAAAAAAGGAATGAATGCTATTGGGCCAGTTACGTAAAAACAACGTCATGGAACAAAGTTCTACATACAAAAAAAAAAATTAATAATTATATATATATATATGTATTAATAATAATAATTAATGATTAATTAATTAATTAATTAATTAATTTTAAAAAATGGCGGGTTTGTTTGTAAAACGAACCTGCCATTTTTTTTTTTTTTTTTGTATTTCGAGCAGCAGGAAAAATTGTTGTTGTTGTTGTTGTCGTCATCCCTCTTTGTATATTAATTAGAAACAATCACCTGCTTCTTCGCTTTAATGATTTTTTTTTTTTTGCTTTCGTTTAATTATTATTATTATTATTTTTTTTGTATTTAAATGATGGCAAAATGATTCAAGGTCAAAACTGAGGTAAAAATGTCTTCTTTCCCGATTAAAATGAAATTGTGAGAGGGAGGAAGGAAGGAAAGAAGAAAGGAAGGATGGAAGAAAGGGTGCAAGATGAAAGTGAGAGAGAGAGAGAGAGAAAGAGATAGAGATAGAGATATTTATAAAATATTATTATTATTATTTACACAATGTGCATTTATATACCTGGAAAATTTTCCGGGTTTTTTTTTTTTTTTAATCAACGTAACAAATTTATTATTATTATTATTATTATTAATTATTTATTATTAATTGTCGAGTTACCTCAGTTTAAAACGTGGAGATTATGGGATCGGGGGGAGGGGAGGGAGAGGGAGTCACGTGAGATTTTTTTTTTTTTTTTTTTAGATTTTAGCTGTTACCAAAGAAGACTGATGATGTAGTTGTTGTTCGACGTAAAAGTAGTCGAATCTCGAAAAGAAAGAAAAACTAAAAAAAAAACTAAAAAAAAAAAAAAACCCACAATTATTATTATTATTACTATTACTATTATTACTATTATTATTATTATTATTGTTCTCCTTTTTTTTTATTGTATTAATAATTATTTATTCTATTATTATCGATAACATTAATAGTAATTATTAGTAATAATATTTAATAATAATAATGATAATAATAATGATAATGATAATAATGATAATAATAATGATAAATATAATTATAATGATATTGTTAGATTGTAAATTGAAAAAAAAAAAATTTTAAATAAAATAAATAAATAAATAAATAATTTTGTTTTTTAAATTTTTTTTATTATTATTATTACATTTTTATTCACACAATAAAATTTTTCCTTCTTTTTTTTCCGTTTCTTTCTCATACGAAAAAACGCAAAATTTTCCGCGATAATGATAATGATGATAAAAACAATTTTTTTTGCTACCACTACCACCATTACCTTTCAACTCTTTTGAATTTTACCCCCCCCCCTCTCTCTCTCTTCCCCCCTCCGCCTACCCCCATCTCCTCACCAAATTGCAAATTGACTAGAAAACGTAAAAATTTATGTCATTTATTAATAATAATAATAATCACGATATGACGAACCGGTATAATTTTATTCCTGTTTTTTTTTAATCGTACAACAAACAAACAAACGAACAAACGAACAAACAAACTTAAATCGATTTAGTTATTGATTACAATTTATTATTTATAAGTATATATTCGAAATTAATTATAATTTTTTTTAGTATAATATGTGTTTGTTAATAATAATAATAATATTAAAAAGAGACAGAGAAAAAAAACGATGACGTTTCGTACTTAAAACATTTTATATAAAAAAAATCACGCGGGGAAAATAATAATAATAATAAATACATAGAATCACACCAAGAGGACCCTATCTTAACCCAAGTTATACATACAGAAGAAAAAATTACAAAAAAAGGAGTTCTGAAAAGGGCAAAACAAATCGTCCAAGAAAATAAAGAAAACGAGATAATGGAAGAAGGGCAACTTGCAACTTATGATAGCAAAGCCCAATCTCAGAAGAAATTAAAAGGCAAATGGGAACAGAAAAAATTACATGGGCAATACCTAAAAAGAATAAATGCCGAAGATATTAATAAGAAGAGCACGCACAATTGGCTACGACGTGGAAAACTTAAAATAGAAACAGAAGCGTTTATTACAGCGGCTCAAGATCAGGCATTTTGGACCCATAACTATGAGAAAGTAATTCCCAAAGCCCGCCAAGATGACAAGTGCCGAATTTGCCAATCTCAATCGGAAACCATCGATCATTTAATTTCCGGTTGTCCGATACTGGCAAAACATGAATACTTAGAAAGGCACAATAAAATATGTCAATATCTCCATTGGAGTATATGCCGAGAATATGGAATGAATGGATTACCCAAGGAGTGGTTCAACCACATTCCAACCCCGGTAAAGACAGAAGGTCCATGCACAGTTCTATATGATCAACAAATCCACACTGACAGAACTGTGCCAGCTAACAAACCGGATATCATCCTCAGACATAATGCGGAAAAATGGTGTAAGTTAAAAGAATTGGGAGCCATGCCACATTCAATAAAAGGAAATTTAAAGTAGATTTTGAAGAACCTAAAAGAAGAAACCATCCAGGAAATCGCACTGTGTGGGACGGCCCACATTCTTCGGAAAATACTCAATAAATAGCACCACCGAAATTCGAGCATTTATCCCTAAGGAATCGGGTAGAAACCTGGAATAAATGCTTAAAAACCCCGAAAAATAAGATCCTTGTCGTGTTTAAAAGTAACCATAATAATAAAATTAAACCATCGCTGTGAGTGTATAAATTATAAATCTAATTGACAAATTAATAGATTCTTGTTTAAAAAAAAAAAAAAAAAAATTGGTTTAGTCGTTTTAATCGCGTACGACATTGTTATAATAATAATGATGATAATAATAATAATAATAATAATAATAATGCTGAATGTAAAAATTCACTTTTTCGTCATAATTTTTAAATATTCTAAAGCGTTTAATGCGGAATCCGATTGGGCTTCACTCGATGTCGAACCCGTACCGTGACAAACGGCCACAGGTAAAACGGATAATTGTACCAAACACTGGCATTTACCTGTAAAGGAAAATAAATAATTAATTTTTTCTACCTCTTTCTTATTAATATTATTATTATTATTATTATTATTATAACAAAATTTACCGGAAACAGTTGTTTCTTCAATGTTAACGTAAGTCACTTCGAAATGTTGTTCGGTGGCTATTTCTTGTAAAAAAGCAATCGGATCGAAATTATTTTTATCAACAGAAGAAAAAATCTGGAAAAAAATGAATGAATAAATATTAATTTTTTTTTAATTCCTTAATTCCCTGTGGTTGATTGATTGATTGACTGATCGGTTTACCTGTAGCTTATTTAAAACGGGTCCATTGCTTTGTTTTAAATTTTTATGAAACATTGAAACTTTATGACCGTGAGGATTTGTCAACGTTGATATTTTACTATTTTTAACATCAGCAAATCTATTAGACATTGAATCGACGTTATAACCCCCCACCTGTTTGGTAAACAAAATGGTTTATTAAAAGAAAAAATAAAATCGAAAGGAAAATCATTTCATTCCATGATAATTACTTCATCTTGATATCCTAATTGTGGCAAGGGAGAACACTGTTGTAATTTTTCCCACATTTTATGAGCTGCTTGACGTTTTGCTAATTTTTTAGATTTTCCAGAACCTACTTCACGATATTTAAAAACAATACACGCCATTGTGAATTGTCTTTCATGTGGAAGACCCTCTTCGCATGTCATTTCATAAACTGGAGGAGGCCATCGATGACAGATACACATTTCCTTAAATGAAATTTTAATGATGGATTAATTTTAAAAAAAAATATAATTAAAAATTATATAAATAACATACCTGTAATGTGCCTATTGGATTTCCAGATATCTTATCAAATGAATTAATGACTTGATTGGGTGAACCTCTACCTGTTTCAATAGGTGATATATTGAATTCTTCGCAGGCTGCTTTACCATTTAATTTATCTAATAAATTTTTAGCTGCCGTGTGTTTGGCTACTTTTTTTGACCTTCCAGTGCCAATGGCTGAAATAAAAATAAATCTCTATCAAAATACAAAAGAATTTTTTTTTTCTCGCAATTATGAGTTTAAAATCGTTTTCATAACCAAACCTGATTGAAATTCGAATGAGGGCTTAAAATTTTTTACTAAACCTATTGAAGAGATATATTTCTTTTAAATGTACAAAATGTATTGAAAAAAAAAAAAAAAGATAAAACTTTCATTTCCTTACCGACATTATCAGCAACAGTAACTCTATAACGAAAAGTCGGCTCATGAATTGCACCTTCAATTTGAACTAATTCATATTTAGGAGTTGTTCCTTGTCTGCTAAGCATTTCTTGTAATAAAGAAACAGGAGTTTTACTTGGCATTGAAGAATAATCCTGAAATACAATAATTATGACTTGATACATGCATTTTACATATAATGTAAAGATCGAATAATTATTAAAACGATTTTAAAAAGATATCGTAATAAAATGTTTAATGTGTAATAATAATTTACAATTTATTAATGTAATAAAAATTTTTTTTTAAAACAAAAAACTTACCAAATTTGATCCCTCTACCCATTGTAAATTAATTTTTTCATTATTATTATCTTCTTGTTCGGCTAAAGGTTTTTTTAAATAACGATTATAATTTGTATCATTATTTAAATTATTAATATCACTTAATGTGTTTTCAGTTTTATTAAGCATTTTATATCAACTGTAACAAAAAAATTTTTAACAATGTTATTAATAAAAAAACGAATAAATGTTTCATTTATTACTTCATTGTTATTTATATGAAACTGTATTAAAAATTTTCCTACACTTTAATGATAATAAATATTCTTTTTAATTATGTAAAATAATAAATAAAAATAAATAAATAATCATTTAAATAAACTTAAGTAAGTCTTGAATATTATTTATTAACCTTGATATTAATACATACCTCATATTTTTGAAGAATTCATGTAGTGATTGACATAAATAAAAATTTAAATTTAAATCTATCAATATTTAAATAATTAATAAAATAACGTAACACGATTATTATTATTAATATTATTTAATACTGAATATAATAATAGTAAATTTCAATATATATGGGATATGAGTTAACGAGCATGCGTCAAATAAACATTTTCACATTTAATAAGAAATTTTTTTTTTTTTTTCCTACTTCTTATTTCTATCGTTTTAAACGTAGTTTTCACTGAAAAAAAAGTAATTAATAAAAAATTTATAAAATAAATAAATAAAATTGATGTGTCACATAAATCTGTCTAACGGTTTTTACCTTTTAAAATGATATACGATCAATCCACGCATTTTATCCACCACTATTGCAAATATACTTTACATATTTTTTTCAACTTCGAAATCGAAGAAATATAAATTATTAAATTCTTTTTTATAAAATTTAATCAGAGTGATACGTATCGTAATTCCATTTAATTAAAAAAAAAAAAAAACTAAAATAAAATATTACTGTAAACCCTATAATTAACACAAAAGCGCCATAATTGGTAAACTCGCGACAAACAAAAAATTGTTTCAAAACTTTTTTTATTTTTTACAACCTAAATTACCTTCAATTTATGGCGGTTATGAATTTAAAACGTGTTTATATATGAGACGGGATTTGATAAAATTTGATAAATTCAAAGTTCAAACGATGAACCTTTAACTTATTATTTTTATTAATAGTAATCGTTAATTAAATGTTAATAAATCATTAAATAGATAATTTAATAATTTATATATTGACAACGCAGCATAACTTTACTTATGCTCTCATGCGAAATATTTAAAATTGTTTATTACTACCCTAAACTACTCATTGCAGCCAAATATTTTTATTAAAAATATATTTATATATAATAAAATGACAAACCTCTTAAAGGCCAATATATTGAAAAGGCAAAACTAGTGTAATAATAATAATAATACAATTACTATCCTTTCTTTAATTTAGTCTATCCTTTTCTTTTCCTAACTTCATTTATTTAAAAAAAAAAAATTCTCATGCAAAAAGGACCGTTATTTAAAATAAATATTAAAAAAATTATTATTATTATTTATATTTATATATATATTATTATTATTATCAAGACACATTAAGATATACTTATTTATAACATTTAAATTAACAAACAAACACTTTTATTATTAAAAACAATCAATAATATAAATTGTTATTATTATATACAACAATAATGATGATGATAATAATGATAATAAATTTAAAAACAAATCAAGTATTTATATGTATATATATAAATATATAATTTTTTTTTATAAAAGATTAAAGGGTTTTTTTTTTTTAATTTTTAATTAATTTTTTTTTTAATTAACAAAACAAACAAACAGAAAATTTGGGAGGCAGCGTTTAACAAACAAAAAAAAAATTTTTTTTATTAATTATCGATAAATATTATTATTATAACGATTGAAAATAATAATAATA